AGTTCTGTGATGAGATCCTGGTTCTGGACAATGGAACAGTATGGGAGTCTGGAAACCACAGGGATCTGATGAGAGCTGATGGACGCTATACTCAGCTCATCAGTACCTACCAGATGGAAGAGTCCAAAGTAAGGGTGTCATGTATCATGGTTCTATTACTGTCCTTATTATTGAAACAAAATTGACTGTAAAACAAAGTGTGTGTTCCATAAGTGTCAATGTTTTAAGCTTATCCAGACTGAGCTGTAAGACTGTCCTTGATAGATATTTATTTATTTTTATTTTTCTTCTGTCAGGCCAAGAAAAAGAAAGCTGGGGACATGGCACTAGCATCATTTATTGATGGCAAGTTGGAAGAGATTGACCTCAGACATTGTGCAAGCACTGGCACTGAGAATCCTGGTGTGAAAACATGGAAGAAAAACATTTGATTTAAACTGACATATTTTCCCTGAAGAGCAAGTTTAAAAAAAAAAAAAAATTCAGATATTAGATGTCAGCTAATAAAAATGTATTTTTCTTTTTCATTCTATAATGATTTGTTTGTTTGTTTTTGTTTTTTAAGCCGCTGTCCCAGCTGGTAATCAGCTAGTGAGTCAGGAGTCCTCTACAAAAGGTGCCATCTCCTGGAGAACATACCGCACATACTCCCAGGCACTTGGAGGTTTGTTATTCACATATGGAATGTTGGGGTTATGTATGAAATTAAATTGCATATTTTCATTTTAAATGGTTTTTTTTTTTATAAATTGTTTTATCAATGCACAGAAAGTTATTGCATGTCAGTTTTTAATTTATTTTTAAGTTTAAAATAAAGGATTCGATATTAGCCATTTTACAAGCTTGGCTATATATACTGGGTTCTAAACATCCCCTCACAACTGCCAAGACACTTGTTAACAACTTGGCAAAGTCAAGAATTGTAGTCTCAAAGAAGATAAACCACTACAACGCTTCACAAGAATGGATTTGTAAGACCAAGAACTACTCCAGACTTTGGTTGTTTAGAGCAAACAAGAGAATCTGTCAGATATTACAATTCAAGTCAACATAACATATTGATCAGTAGCTTTCATTTGTTTCCCCCCCCCCCTCCATATAACTACCACTGAGTACACTGTAAATTCTTCCCCTAACTCCTGTTTCCCAATGCTGCATATGCTTGTGGATACATTATTATGAGCAATAATACACAGCCAAACTCGTGATGCATAAACTGCTCATTGTTGTTACAGGCTACACAGTTTCCTTCATTATCCTCCTGAATATGTTCCTGTTGGCAGGATCCACAGTCTTCAGCAATTGGTGGTTTAGCTTCTGGATGGCAAGTGGTGATGGGGTGAGAATTATTGCATTCCTTATCACTGTCACACACGTTGAAATAGTTCTCTGTGAGCCTTCAACTCACAAGAGGGTAAGAAGTCATGCCTTTTTTGTGGCTGTTGTGCAAGATAAACTCTTTCTGTATTTACATTTTGCTACGTAAAGCTGAGTTGATGTTACATCATCACTCATTGGTCTTCTAGCTCTCCTGCTGGTCCACACACTTACACGCTCCTCCTACTGCCAATATCTCAAGGTTGGATTCATCAGCAATCAAGTCTCTTTTTAATTGCCAGTTATTTTTGAAACTGTTTATTTTGGCCTAGTCCAAGCATTTCTCCTTGAAACAACTTGATGTTTTGATCTTCTGTTGGTTTTGTCACTTAGTTTTGGTCACTACACACTCTCTCTAGTTTCCATGCACTTGCCCCTTAAAATACTTGGAATGCCTGAGGGTCATCTTTCAGCTTGAAGACAGTATAAAAATTTCAGCAAGGGTTTTAGCTGTCACTTGAGTAAGCGTCATCCCTGAAACATAAGAAATCAGTTTGAGGAAATCTTGAGGAAAAGTATTTGATGCTCACAAAGCAGGAGATGAAATCCTGTGGTAACTTTGTATGTCTGAGTGTCAAGAACTTGAGTGAGAAGTATCGTGATTTTAAAATCCAGAGAGCCACACATTATAGACCAAGCCTGGCAGATGTAGCAAGCGAAAAACTGTTTCTGACTCCTCAAATTCTGCTTATTTCTAGTTTTAGGAAATGATATTTAATCATTCGTTTATGTATACAATGACTTTGTCTGACTTCACTAACTTTTCTTTTTTTTTTTTTTTTTTTATGTTTTTATTTCCAAGTCATCCAGTAACACAACTGCAGTCCAGGGAGAAATCTCTCAAAATCCACACCTTCACTTCTACCAGGTTATTTATGCTGCAACAGTGGTTGTCATTGTTGTACTTTCCATTGTGAAATCCATAATCTACACTTATTTCACCTTGAAGGCCTCCTGCAAATTCCATGACATGCTGTTCAAAAAGGTACTGTGAATTCTCAGAACCATAGAAATCTCTGCTACTCACCATTACACATGGTCATTTTAAATATGGATAAGGGTTTACTTATCACAAATGTATTGAATCCAAAACTGGGAACGTTTACTAGCTACAGATGAACTGTTTGTTTTCCTATTGCAGATTATTGATAGTCCAATGAGTTTCTTTGACACAACTCCAACGGGCCGACTTCTAAATACTGGTGACTGCCAGTGGTGCCACTTCTCTAAAGATCAAGACGAAGTGGAAACTGTCCTTCCTCTTGTCATGGACTCTTTCTTACAGTGTTCTCTACTCGTCGCATCCACAGTTGTTGTCATCTCAGTTATTTTCCCCGCCATGCTTGTAGTTGGAGTTATTATGGCAGCTTTTCTTGCCTTTACTGTCTTGTGAGTTTATGCTGGCTAAATCTATAAAACACAGTTACTGAAAGTAACAGGTCCTCTAAGGTACTATATATCTGTGCCTTCTCTGCAGTGTATTCCAGAGGAGTATACGTCATATGAAGAATCTAGAAAACATCAGTCGCTCTCCATGGTTTTCTCTAACCCCCTCAACTTTGCATGGCCTCAGCACCATCCATGCCTATAGTAGAAGAGACAGCCTTATAGAACAGTACGTTTCTGAAATTTGTTACTAGGCTATCACCTCTTGCTTTTGCAATGTTTTTGATACAACACATTGTAAATTGTATGTTTCTTTGGGGCGGGGTGACTGTGGACAGTGGGATGTTCAAAAACTTCTGTTTTATATTACAGGTTCAATATCTTGACTGATATCAACTCCAAATACCTTTTCATGTTTAATGCTGGCACACGTGCATTCGCCTTCTGCCTGGAATTAATGGCTGCTACTACGACGCTGTTTGTGGCTCTCTTTGTAGTGCTCAGCAGTAATGACTTAATCAGTCCATCCTTGAAAGGCCTCGCGATATCCTATTCCTTGCAGGTACATTTGGACAGCACATGAATCAATGTTCATTTTGCTTTTCAGACATGGATTTACATAATTTTTAAACTTATTTTCAGTTGACAGGCATGCTTCAATATGTAGCCAGACTCTCGATAGAAGTGGAAGCAAGATTCGACTCAGCGAAACGGCTCCAGGAATATGTCACGGTCAGACTCATGTCCTGAAATCATTCACCTGTCATTGTTTTGCTGAGACCAAGGCCAGAGTTCATTAAACATCCTACACACCCATCTGCTTGATCCCTGTAAACTTTTAATTGTTTTTGCAGGATTGTAAGTCTGAGGTTCCCAGGCATGTTAAGGAGACTCAGATCCCACAGGACTGGCCTAGCAGTGGGGGCATCACCTTTGTAGACTATAAGATGAGGTACAGAGAGAATTCACCAATTGTCCTGAATGGCATTGATTTCCACATTCAACCTGGAGAGAAGCTGGGGATCGTGGGAAGGACTGGCTCTGGTGAGGCTCTGGGTTCAGTAGCTGTTTCTCTTGTTGATTTCATCTAGTCTTTGGGTGATGATGATTTACAACAATACACCCTAGAAATGATGATGATAAATACATAAACTAGTTTTTCAACATCACTCTGAGACAGGCAATTTAATCTTTGAGCAGTGGTTCTTAACCTGGGTTCGATCGAACCCTAGGGGTTCGGTGAGTCGGTCTTAGGGGTTCGGCAGAGCCTCCGCCATGACATGCATGGCTCATTTTGTGCACCAGGAAAAAACATATCTACTTGAATTTGAAAAAAATCCTATTTTATTTTTCACTAAAGAGGGGTTCAGTGAATACGCATATGAAACTGGTGGGGTTCGGTACCTCCAACAAGGTTAAGAACCACTGTCTTAGAGTGTGCAAATATAGGAAGGCAGTCCTACATAGTTTGTTTAATATCCTCAATGTTACTGGAGGCCAAGGTAATGTCATCCAGGGTATCTGGCCATGTTTCTAAGATAAGGCAGTGCACAACAACCTCAGTTTTTTCTGAATTTAGAAGCACTTAGAGGGAATTAGAGGTGATCCAGGTTTTAATTTCTTTAAGAGATTCCTGTAGTTTAATTACTTGGTGTGTGTCAACAGGCTTCATAAGTCTGGGTATCATCAGGCAATGAAAATGTATGCTATTTGTAATAACACTGCCTAAGGGAAACTCATATAATGTAAACAGAAATGGTCCCAACACAGAACTCTGTGGAACTGTAACAGCATCAAACGCTGAGGTCTAACAAGGCAAGAACAAAGAGTTGACTGTAAGAGGCCAGAAGAAAACCATTTGCCACCTTCACTTGTTCCATTTCTGTACTGTGAGCTCTGAAAGTTGACTGAAACTGCTGTTTTACTTTGAAGAATTTTTGAGATAAAGTTAGCCAATTATAGGCCAGTCTGTAAGATAGCTGGGTCAAGTGATGGCTTTTAAATAATGGTTTAATTACTGCCACATTAAAGGCCCGTGGTAAATAACTTGTTAATAAAGATAAGCTGATTATAATTAAGATGAAGATTGGTTAATAAAGAAGATTAGTTAATGGTAGGAGGGCTTTTTCTCATTTAATTGTTATTGTTGCTATTATTCCCCCACCCCAACCCTCTAAGGTAGATGGCACCCCTGCCTACACCTGGTTGTGCTGAAAGTTTAGTGATTGACTCTAAATCCTCCCATATTCCTGATTTCAAATGATATTTTATGTAGCACATTTTAATGTAAATTTTAACAGTTTTAGGTTAATTCAGCTACTCTAATCTGCGGTTTGCATCTGTAGGAAAATCGTCTTTAGGAGTAGCTCTATTTAGACTTGTGGAGCCTGCAGCAGGAACCATACTGATAGATGGGGTGGACATCATGTCCATTGGCCTGCAAGACCTGCGTAGCAAATTGTCTGTGATTCCTCAGGACCCTGTGCTATTTGTTGGTACAGTCAGGTAACCTTGGCCAACCCATAAATCTCACATTGGTCTGACCACTGTGGATCAGTAACTGGCTAATGACCCCCATCCCTGCAGGTACAACTTGGACCCCTTTAATAAATACACTGATGAGGAGATCTGGGCAGCGCTCGAGAAGAGCTACATGAAGGACTCGGTATGTTTTGAGTGCAACGTGAAAGTTGGTACATTTAAAATTCCTATACAGCCCTTTTTTCTTTTTTTTTTCTTTTTTTTGTCTCTGCTCTTTGTTTGTATACATGATGAATTAGGATAGTGGAGTGGAGCTGTAATGTGATTTGTTTCCTCAGATCTCAAAGCTGGAGGGGAAGCTTGAAGCACATGTTATGGAGAATGGAGAAAACTTCTCTGTAGGCCAGAGACAGCTGATCTGTATGGCTAGAGCTTTACTCCGTAACTCCAAGGTCAGAGTGCACTTTTTTTTTGCGGGGGGGGCTTGATGATTTGTCACCTGGCTGGGACAATGCTGTCACATACTGCATTCACTGATGCCAGTCAAAGCAATTTCCTGTGACTCTCTGTCAATATGCTCTGCACTGTCCTTAAACATCGCAAATCTGTCCTGATTTAAATTTTTTTTCCCCTTGAGGTCATCAGTACAATGTTTAGATTCCTCTTCAGAAGTACCCCTAAGCCTTAAAAGCCTGGTAGGGTATTGTTGTCACTCCGCAGGGCAGATGGACAGGATGTATACCTAAGTTTGAATGCTACTTGAGATTGCGGTGACGTAGGAGCGTCAAATTGAGACCATAGACATATTTACTAAAAATCTCAGACGGAGTTGAATCTCAAATTTCTAAAAATAAATATAAAAACTTGAGAACAAGGTGATGTAAGATTTTGAAATTCGTACATAGGTGTGTCTGCTAGGAGGCTGAGTGGCACCACTGGCAGACACCAGTATTTTCTTTCTGTTTTTTCCTCTTTACATGGCCACTGCAACATAATCTTCACTCGGTATCTGTTGGAGAGGTCTGCCACCCTGTGGCCAACTTCCTTTGGAAAAAATACAAAAAAATAACTTAAGACAAAGGAAAATTATTTTTACGGACTTCACCGATTTATCATGGGACTTTTCAGAAATCCAAAATTTTATTGCCTTTGTCTTTAAAGTTTAAATCTATAATTGTGTATCTATAATTTGTTGTGTTTTTAAAAAATCTACAGTAAATAAAATGTTGTAACAAACTGTAAAACCATGTTTTGCCAACTTACTGCAGTTATATTCTAATGTTGCTGACAAAATGTTGAGTTAAATTATTCATAATTTAAGAGTTAAACACATCCCCATCTTATTAGCTTTTAGCCTATTGCTTGTTTTTGC